TAAAATTATATTTCATCTAAAAATATAATATAATTTTTCCATTAAAATGTTGATCACATGAATATATATATATATATACATTTATTTGAGTTTTATATCAAAAATAATGGTTAATATAATATATATATATATATAAATATTGAATTATGTTTTTTTGTTTGTTTGCCAATAATATAGAAATTATGTTTTTATTATTATATGCAATAATTTACTAATAAATTTGAATTAAAATATTATATTATTAAAATAATTTTAATGATAAAATATTATGTTACATATTTTATTGCCAACAAAATTCAATGTAAATGTTTGTTTTTTTATATATTTTTCAAATAAACTTTTTTTTAATGATAATAAAAGTAACTTAAATTTATTATTAGTTTAATAGTAATAATTGTTATATTATTAATAGTAGTTTTGTGAAATATTGTATATATTAAAAAAAAAACATATTTCAATTTAATAATAAATAAATTATTGCAATATTGTTGCTATAATTTTTTTGATAAACAGTATATATCTATATTGTTATACTATTTTTACTATTAATTATTATTATTATTTTATAGTCATAAATAAAATCAAAAAAACTTATGTGTTTTTTTCTATCCATTAAATGACAAATGAATTTTTACGTTTTGTTAATAATTTAATGATAATAATAATAATAATTATTATTATTATTATTATATGTTTGTCATTGTTTTGTTGGTAAATGTTATATAAATAAATAATTATTTAGTTTTTTTTGTGTTTTGTATTTTGTTTGTCCCATTAATTTAGCCATATTTTTTCCGCTACACATTTTTTTTATCAATGCATCACTAATTTTAATGATTGATTCAAACAACAAAAATATATCTATATATATATAATTTTTATCATTAAATTTTTATTTATTTTTTTGTGTCTCAAAACTATTATGTAATACCATATAAATTAAAATTTTTATACCATAAATGTCTATGAACTTTGCCTGTCATTTATAATAATATTAATATAAATAAATAAAAAGTAGACAATAATCTATTAAATATAATAATTTATTTTAAATACTCTCTCTCTCTCTCTCTCTCTCTCTCTCTCTCTCTCTCTCTCTCTCTCTATACTGTATAAACATATTGTATGATATTGTTGTTTAAGTTTTATTTGAATATATATAATAATTTATATATATATATATATACTGTATATATACTGTATATTATTTATTTATACATATTATTTATTATACAACAAAATTTTTGTTTATTCTAGACAACAACAACAACAACAACAAACTAAGTGAGCACAGGTAGCTAAAAAAAATTTTAGAGTATTAATGTTTTTATAATCCTATATACCTGAGCTCTCAAATATGTATTATATGGTATTTAAGTATGTATTACATAATTACCAGTAAGTGAGTGTGTGTGTGTGTGTGTTATAAAATATATATTATAGTTGTCTTACATGTATATATATATATACTGTATATATAGGGTATAATAATATTTGACAAACAAAATTGTTTTTTAAATGTCTTATTTTTTGGTTTTTATTTTATTTTTTGGTTTGTTGTAATCATTAAATGTATTAAAACATAATAATTAAAGTCTATATAAACATATAGTATCTATAATTATAATAAATATTAATAATTTTGTTGTTGTATATACTATGCATTTAACATAACTATACTAATACAGTATATATTTACACAACAACACATATACAGTACTATTACATGACTTCATATAATATAAAAAATAATAATTAATTGCTATAAAATTATTTATACAGTACATACCAGTATAGTTAATATATGCAATTAGACATTTGAAAAAAATTAAATATATATAAGCAATTAAGTATTAATAGTTTACAAGCAAATAATAATAATTTAAGACACACTATACTATTAGTATATAAATATACTGTATTTATTATACAGGTATTTCATGGCAATACTGTATTTGTTTAATAATATTGTAAACAATTTAATTTAATTACTAACAAGCACTGGTACTTTTTTTTAGCTCCGATATGTTGTTTTTTAACATGTTTTTTGTGTATAAATAGTAATACAAACATTTTATTTTGCTATATCTTAATTAACCTACCTGTGCAGTGTCATAATTTTTTAAAAACACTATTTATAATTATTATTATTAAACAATACCTTGATTACCTTGATATCAATTAGTAATTATATTTTAAAAATTAATTTATTTATACAAAACAATATAATCATTTAGATTAGTTACAGTAAAATATTTTTTGAATATTTATATAAATTATATTTTTAATTGAATAGTCATATAATAAACCATAATCATAATTTACATTAAATTATAGCTATATTTTATTATTTATATATAATATTTAGAAAATATATTTTTGTTTAAAAATATATAAAAAGCTTTGAAAAATGTTTTATTTTGTTTTTATAAATATATAAAAAAAATTAATTCATAAAATTATTTTAGTTTGCAATAACCATATATAAACAATAAACAATATATTTTAGTCATTAATTATTTAAAGAGAAAATATTTTTTCTAACTGTTAATTATTGCTAAAAATACTTTATTTTTATTTTGATGTTTTTATTTAATTTATCCAATAAAATGTTATTTACATAAATGTATTTTTCAATGTATTTTCAATTTATAATTTATAAACATATTATTATCCAGTTTAGACTTGTCTATTAGTGTCATTGAAATACAATATATTAATACTTTAATTAAAATGTATTATAATATACTATATATATAATATATATATTACTTGTATTATATGATAAATTTAGTCAACAACTAAAAATCTATAAATCATAACAAACTAATCATATTTCACATTCAAATTTATTTTTGTTCAAAAATAATATCATATTATTTATAAACTATAATTTAAATATTTAAAAATTAATAATTATTAACAATATTAATAAAAAAATTATTTACATTTATATTTAAATATCAAAAATTATTGTAGATATCATTTGTGCTGTTAAATCACATGAAATTAAATATTTATATTTCAAAATAATGTTTTTTGATTATATTTTATTTTACATTAAACTATAAAACTTTGCACTTTATTATTGTGCAAATAATTTTATGGAGATATATGTGTTTAATTAGAGCATAAATAGTGGTATTTTTGTTTGTTTTTTTTTAAATTTTTTTTGTTATAAAAAAATCAATTGTTTTTGATTACCCACATAATAATCTACCAGTGCACTAATAGTCAATAACTAACAAACACATAATATAATATATTTTATTAAAAAAAATTATTTATTACTTCATTAAACATTAATAATTATAAAAAATAATAAATAGTAGGAAAAATAATTGCAATTAATTTTGTTTTATAAATTAAAACTTAGTTTTTTTATTGCATTTAAAAGTTATTTTTAAAATTTCTTTTACAACTACTTTATATATTATATATATTTTAAATCAATTATATTATTATTAATAATAATAAACTCCTTATGTGTTTAAAAAAATTAAATTTTTACAATTTTTTTAGTTATTTTTTAATTTATTATATTATTTATTTTTATTTATATATATATAAATATAAAATTACAAATTTATTTTTTTTAATTTATATACTATAATAAAGTAATAGTAATATTTTTTTTCCTTATAATTGTATAGTATTTTTATACTGCATTACAAATAGTTTTTTTTTAATTTTATTAATTTAGTTGTACATCACATTTATGAAATATTGTTTGTTTTTTTTGTAAACTAAAATAATAATTAAAAATTAAAGTTAAAAATTAATCCAGGAGAGATTCGCCGTATATTTTTACAGTATATTATATATATATAAATTTATATAATAATAATAATAATAATAATCTATAATCATATCCAACATATGCACACACACACACACAGATCCAGTGGTTGATAGGACAGTGAGATAATTTAAAAATACCGGTGCTTGACTTGTAATAGTAAAGTATACAAATAATAACATTTTGTAACAATAATTGTTATAATGATAATAATAATAATAAATTTTATATATATATCTTAATAAAATCTAAATATGTTAAACACGTTTCAATCTCTCTCTCTCTCTCTCTCTCTCTCTCTGTGCTGTAATAATTATTAACAAAATTAAAAATAAAATTTTATAAAACTTTTTTTCAAACTAATTACACAATAATAATAGTGAATTGTTTTGTGACATCAATTTTCAAGCACCGGTATCTCTTCCTTTAAAAAAAATAAAAACATTAGAGAGAAAAATAAATCTTAAGTGTATTTTTCAATATATATAAAATAATTATATATATATATATAACTTATAAATTCAGTGCACATTTTTTTGTTTGTCAATTAAAAAAAATTATTTTGTGTATATAAAATAGATATTTTAAAAAAACAATTTGTGTATAAAAAAAAATAAAAACATTTATAAAAACATTTTATTTTTGGTGTCTGTGTTTTGTTGTCTAAACTAAAATTTTTGTATTAAAAAAAACCGCTATTAATCGCTAACAATCAAAAATAAAACAATTAGGTATATACTGTATATATATAATATTAATAAAACAAAAAATATTATACTATATTTTATCAATGATTTGATTCAATTTATTATTTTCACACACAACTAATATTAATAATTTTTATAAAAAAATGTTATTTTATATTATTATTAATTAATTAATAACTTAATATTATTTAAACGATTATTATTATTAGATATTATGATGTATTTGAAGTCAGATCCGTTGATTGATTTTTTTCTTTAAATTATAAAATTATATTAAAGTTTTAAAATAAGCACTTTTTTTCCTGAAAAACAACTTATATATTGTAAATATATTTGTAATTAAAGTTATTTTTTTATAATTATTTGTGAGATATTTGTTTTAAAGAGATTTGCACTCATTTTTTGTTTAACTTTTTTGTTTATCCATAAAAAACAATAACAACTTTTTTTTATATTAAAAAACATTATTAATAATAATAATAACTTTTACTCTCCAAAAAAAAATTATTAATAATAATAATTATTAAACAATTGATCACTTAATGGACGGTTATGTGTAAAGTATGTGTCACTGACGGACGGACAGGTAGTATATATATAAGTACTGCTAAACCGGTGCTGTCGACGGTGTACTCCTAGACGTTGTATGCGATCGCTGGGCTGGCGACGGCTGTCCATTGGGATTATAGCAGGCCATCGGTATTGTATTGTTGTGACCACTACTAGTTCGCGGTGACGGCTGTATTGAATAGCTGGCTGCCGACGATGTTGAGCTGCGCGGTTCACGGCCTCCGCCGAGACCACTATGACCTCCTGGTTGGTGATGATGTTGTTGCTGATGATGATGATGCATATGATGCGGATAGATCTGCGGCGATGGTTGCGAGCTAACCGAACCGCCCGCACCGATCTTGTACTGGCCGGTCGAGTCTAGACTGTGCCGGGACAGCGATCGCGAAGCGTTCAGACTGGACAGTGTAGACATCTTGAGTTTGGCCATATCTTCCAGACGGGTAATGTCGCTGAGCTCCTGGTAGTTGGCGTAGACTATCATCCAGACAAATACGTTGACACCGATTAGCAAAAACCAGATGATAAGCATTGCCTGATGATAGCCGAAGTACAGGTCGTTGACCAGCGACTGGAATATTATGGTTAGCGTACGCCAGGCGGTAAATACGGCCATTGCCCGCAACCAGTGGACAAACTTGATTTCATGCTCTTTGCGTAGGGCTGTCATCAGTATGAGCGACGATACCAGGAGATAGACAGCGCCGATAAACAGTATGACCGCAATGACCATCAGTGTCCGGCGTATGTGTTGATTGCCAGAGTAGACAAACAAGAAGCTGATACCAAAACTACGGAAATGTGTCGTACCGGGAGCTGCTTCGGCCAGACAGTAGGTGTCGAAGATGGCCAAACTGATCTGAAATAGACTTTCAATCAGCGTATAGATGGCGGCCAGGTAGCTGCCCTTTTGGAGATCGGTAAATATAGCGTTCCGGATGATCGGTCGACGCTCCCACCATTTAAGTTTTACTTTACGACTGCCGGCCATTGTCCGCGATCGGGTTGTCGCTATGGAGGTCGTACTGCGACCGCCGTACGAGTGTATAGATGACGGCATTTTTTTTGGTGGTTATGTCGGGTATAGCTGACGGGTTATATGTGTCGGGCAGTTACGGATGGGTGAGGAGGATGGTTGGGATGTTAGAGCCGTGTGAGTGTGTTTGTGTGGATCAGCTCTCTATTGATGAGACACACGCGTATCATATATTTGAGACAATCATTGTTATGATGTTGTGGTCAATAGTTTTTTTAAAACTGTTGTTCATCTGATGAGCGCTCAGGTAGGGTCTCAACAAAAAATTCAACATAAAAACTACTATTCAATGGTTGGATAGTTTTAAAAAAGTTGTATTGTTTTATACATATATTTTCAATTTATCCGATATGATGATGATGATGGGTTCATGGGTAACTGTGCAGCAATGATGCTTATGAGGGTATGATGCTGATGATGCTGGTGATGGTATCACCTGATGATGATGTAGTAGTAGTAGTAGTAGTAGTAGTAGTAGTAGTAGTTTTAGAAGTAGTAGTAGTAGTAGTAGTGACCATATGTGACACGACACGACACAACCAGTTGACACAACATATATATATATATATATAATTATATCTACTGTATAGACTATATATCTATTCAAACAGACAACTCCTTCATATAAATAACAACATATACATTGAGAAAAATGGCGTGAATTGGTTTAGGGCGAGGCATATATACAGAACAAACAGGTATACCGTATACCTGTCCCGCGTCACGTGACTCATCCATGCATAGGTGTGTGTGTGTGTGTGTATGTGTGTGTGTGTCTGTATTTGTATGTATGTGTGTGTCTGTATGTGTATGTATGTATGTGTGTCTGTATGTATATATGTGTGTGTGTGTGTGTGTGTGTGTGTATATGTGTGTRTGTGTGTGTATGCATTGCACAGGTGTTTGACGCACAGGTAGCACACACTGAGAGAGAGAGAGCAGACATTCATAGCCCCCCTCTGACACTACATACAGGTAACGTCACTGTATATGACTGCTTGTTTGTCTGTCTATATATATATAATATAGTAGACTATTTATGTGCTTATGTATATGTCTGGTGGTGTCACCACCATAATTATTATTTTGGTGACACAACCAAAATATCAGTGGCGGACACACACACACACACACACACATCATAGCATATAACTTACCCACAAAAACACACCTGTGTTTAGGTGTTTTCAAAACAAAACAAAAAAAAGTTTTTTTTTCTCTCTCTCTCTATAACTAACTAACTATATCTTTCACTTTTATAGTTTATTTTTTTTATATAAATATGATTTATATATTTAATTGTCTCACAATATAAGTTATATAAATTTTTTTGATAAATAAAAATAAAAACTTTTGTCACAAACAATAAATGGGAATTTGAAAACAATTTCAAACGACAAATACAATTGACTTTTAACACGAAAATTGTTTTTTTTAAAATAATGTTTTTTTACAAGACTAGACTTTTTTAAACTTATTGGTTGTTTGCGACACAAAAAAATAAAAAGTTTTTTGTTTTGTTTTTTTATTTATAATTTTCTGGTGAAACTTTATAATATATTATTTTATACAATATTTTAGACATAAATCAATTCTTTTTGTTTTTTGTTATATTTTTTGTGATACCATTTACTGATAGAAAACTAGTGCCAACTATTTTGGATAGTTTTTTAAGTATATATATATAAAGTATTGTATATAAAAATATTGAAAATTAAATTTACAAAACATTTATACAAACAAAAATAAAAAAAGTTTTCTATACTTTATTTTGTGTATGTATTTTTAAATTTCATAGTAAAGGTATTTAAACACTAAAAACCAAAATTATACATAATAATGAAAAATTGTATTTATTTTTTTTTTGTGACTATATAGGTATAAATTATACAGTATAATAATAATACTTTTTTAACAGTAAAAATACAATATTGTTTTTTTAGTATTGAAAAAATAAGGTTATCTATATGTGTTGTGTGTGGCTGTCATTTAGGTTTAACATTGATTATGATTTATATATATATATATGTGTGTTATATTACACACACACACACACACACACACACACACACACACACACACACACATACACACACACACATTATTGACAAAAAATATGTTTATATAGTTATGGTGTGTAATAATTTATAATAAAATATTATCACTAAATAAAAAATAAAATAATTCATGCATTTTTTATTGCACACACAATTCATTACTATTATTATTATAAATATAAAAATATTTCATTTGAAAATAAAAATGCATTTTAATTTAACATTAATCACATACACACACACATATATATAATATAAAAATTAAATACCATAAAATGTTTTTGTTTATAATTGATTAATAAATAATAATTATTTATTTTTTGAATAAAAAATATGTGTTTTATATATATTGTCAATAATTTTTTTGTGTGATTTTTTTTATTGTTGCTGTGATTGTAGTAATTAATAATTTTTTTTATTAAAATGTTGGCCGAAACTGAATCGGCCGACAGTCCACATATGGCCAACAATAATGATAATAATAATAATAATAATAAAAGTAATAATAATACTAATCATAATAATAGGAAAGGCCTATTGGAAACGGTTATCTGGGTATTGGTTCTCTTTCTAACCGTTTCCGTACCGTTTATGATGACATTAATAGGTGGGTAGTAATAGTAATAATAATAATACTTTTCAATTAATACTAACGGTTAAATACATGTAGTTATCCATATCATTCTGATCAGGTACTTAAACATACCTGTGCTTATATATGACTATCGTTACACACATATTTCAATTTGTAGATATATATGTGTGTACATATTTATGTGTGTGTATGTGTGTGTGTGTGTGTGTGTGTGWGTGTGAGTGTGTGTGTGTTTATGTGTGTGTTTATGTGTGTGTGTGTGTGTGTGTGTGTGTGAGTGTGTGTGTGTTTATGTGTGTGTGTGTGTGTGTGTGTGTGTGTGTGTGTGTGTGTGTGTGTGTGTGTGTGTGTGTGTGTGTGTGTGTGTGTGTGTTTGTCAATCAATTGTAACTATTGACAAATTTCTTAATAAAATTATACTATAAATTTCAATTTGTGATATATATGTGTGTGTGTGTGTGTGTGTGTGTGTGTGTGTGTGTGTGTGTGTGTGTGTGTGTGTGTGTGTGTGTGTGTGTGTGTGTGTGTGTGTGTGTGTGTGACTGTGTGTGTGACTGTGTTTTTGTCAATCAATTGCAATAACTATTGACAAATTTCTTAATAAAATTATACTATAAAAACTAATTGTAAATAATAATAATAATATTTATAAGTAATTATTTATATTAATTACTTTAGTAAAGTTTCTTTTATAAATAAAATTTAAAAAAACATGTTATTCAAGAAAATTATTATTAAAAATTAATGAATCATAATATAAATTCAAATTTGTTTTTTATCAATTTTTTTAATCTAATAAAAATAAAAATAGTTAAAACTAATAATATTATCATAAATATTTATATTTTCAATTATATTGCATACAAAATAAACCTGTATGAATAATTAATTTTTTTAAAATTATTATTTAATTAATTTTTTTTAAAATTATTATTTAATTAATTTAGTTAAATATAGAAACTTATATATATATATATATATATTACAAAATAATATTAAATTTAAAAAAAAAAAATTATTATCACATTTAAAATTAATTAATAAAAAAATTACATAATTATTAATACCTAGATAATTTATCTATCCCAAATATTTTATGATAAATTTTTAAAAACTTAAATCTATTATAATTATTAAATTTATAATTATTATTTATTATGAACCATTGACACACCCACACCTACACATACAGGACTGTTACATATAGACGACTGTCCCCATCAGTCATACATACCGATAGTTATGCTGTTGGCCGGCCTATCCATGAGTCTAAACAATATAATCAATTCGATTGATAAGTATTCGCCGCCCAAACAATCGACATATAAGCGCCGTAAGCATATGGTATCGGTGCTCAACACAGTGACCAACTGTGCCGCTATGGCATCATTTATTGCCGGTACGTTTGCTATACCATATCAATTAGATAATAAAAACCATAACTTATTTTTTTAAATTGATTATCTCTACCCCCCCCCCAAAAAAAGGTGGTATAGGAGTCTATGGTTCGGGTAAGCCATCATACGACCGGCTTTCCCGTGACTACTGTAATCCAATACTCTATTTGTTTGCCTTTTGGTCGCTAAACTTGTCGTTCATATTCATGACATTAATTGGTTGCATACTAACCGTCGGGTTTGCCATTAAATTCATTAGAACTCCATAGTAAAGATACCTAACCAACAACAAAAAAACTACCTGTCCTTCAATTGTGTCAACAACAAAAAACAAACAAAAACAAATGGACAGTCATATCATCAGTTATATATTGTTTCATCTATATCTCTAGTCATATACAGTATATATATAGCGTATGGACAGCTATGTTGTCGTTAATTAAACCACAAAAAAAACTTTTTCATAAAAAAATATTTATTAAATAAGTTTTCAAAAAACTTTTTTTTTTAATAAATTTTATTTTCTAGTGATTCATACATTTTTAAAAGTTAATATTGATTTGTTATGTGTGTGTGCGCCCCCACACACACACATAGAAAAAACAACCTAACAGTGCAACAAAAAAATTTATTATTATGTAATATATATCCATATTTATCAATACATTATTATTATTTTTTAATAAAAAAAAATCATAATAAAATAAATTTTAATAAATCAAAAAAAAAATCTTTAAAAAATTTATTTTCTATCAATTATATGTCATAATATTTTTTTTATTGTGTATGCAAATAGATTATGTAATCATAATTTCTAAAAATAAAATTTCATAGTAATTTTCTTGGGGAGGGAATTTCCCTTAAATAAATTTTTTTTTTAAATGTACATACTACGTTTTTCCCCCCAATATTTTTATTTTATTTTAATTTGTCATTGATATCATTACTTTCAATCTACACACACACACAGGTATTAAAATAAACATATAAACTTTTTAAAAATTTCAAAATACCATGTTACATTAATGGCAATAAAAATACTACCCCACTAAAACTTTTATTTTTTTTTCATGATAACCCCTTTACACTTGAATTTATAACTAACTGTAATTCAATTCAATAGGAGTATTCAAAATAAATAAATTGTAATTGAACTATACACATTGACATTAATTGTGTAACGTTATTTATGAATATTTAAAAATTTTGTACTATGATAAAAACATATTTGAAATCCTCTCTCTCTTTCTATGGGGAAATTCTTGACATTCCAACTGATTTTTTTATATATATATATATATATACATAACTTCCCCCACATAGGGGGGAGGAGGAGAAACAAGCAAGTTTTATATATATATATATATATATATATATATATATATATATAGTTAAATTTGTTTATTTTTACCTAGAACATTCTATATATATATATATATATATATAAACATAATTAAATAAAACAAAATTTTTTCACATCATACAATATTAAATTATTGGTGAGTTCCCCCACCCCCCGTATGTTGCCCCACCCCTTTTCAGTATAAAACAAATTTGTTTGTGCGCCCTATAGTTACCAAATAATCTATTGTAAAGGTTATATATATATATATATATATATATATCAATATATTTATACACTGTATATATACAATCGGGGAAAAATCCGGCACCTGGTTATGCTAAAAATATAACATTACTAGTAACTAATATGCACTACATATACACTAAAAATGCACTATAGGATTGCCAGATGATAAAAAACCCTAGATTTTTCCAAATTGTAAATATCCCTTAAATAATAAAACTAATGTACAAAATGTACGTTAATATTGCACTCAACAGTATTTACTGTATATATATTGCCTGCAATGCCTCACCCATTGTATAGCATTAAACATATAGCTATAGCTCTCTCTCTCTCTCTCTCTCAATGAAACACACTATCAATGCTATTATACATACACACAGTTTTGTATGACTCATAGGCTCGTATAGAAGGGGACCAATAGTATGGCATTAGAGAGTTATAATGAGATAACCATTTTATATGATGAGAGTTATAGTGTGTGAGAGAGAGAGAGAGAGAGCTATAGTGTGTATATGTATTGTATGAGAGAGAGAGAGAGACTATGACTCTCACTGACTGTGACTGTAGTGTCAAGTGTTGAGTGGACTGAATGACTGACTGTTATTGTCTGCATATATATCACTGACTACTGACTACTACTATAGTGTGTCTGTAATAAACACCCGCCGATAAACAACTACTGGTCACCCGATTGTTATCGAAGGTCCCGAACCAACCAACCGACCAATTGGTGACCTAACCGAGTGATTGGACACAATATAGTGTGAAGACAGTGTTTGTGTGTGTGTGTTGTGTTGATAACCATCATCAGCATCACAACCACCGACGGCAACAACAACATAACTAACCGGTCGCTCGAAGACGACGACTAAGGAGGAAGAGTAGGAAGAATAACAAACAAAACGATGGCATCGATTAGAAAAAAGTTGGTTATTGTTGGCGACGGCGCCTGCGGTAAGACTTGCCTATTGATTGTGTTCAGCAAAGACCAGTTTCCCGAAGTGTATGTGCCGACAGTCTTCGAGAACTATGTGGCCGACATCGAGGTCGATAGCAAACAGGTATAGTGTTTTGGGTTGAATGTCCAAATGGCCAGACATAACCCCACCCGATATCTGCCGACACATTGATAACTAATTGTTTGTTTTCTCTTTCTCTCTCTGTAAACAATAGGTTGAGTTAGCTCTTTGGGATACCGCCGGCCAAGAGGACTACGACCGACTGGTTAGTAGTTAGCCATTGATTTTAAGTGTTTGTTTAAATACACATTTATTATTTTTGAAACTACTGGTCACTCACTACCAGTTCTCAACAAATTGATTGATGTCTAACTAACTGATTGTTGTCTATCTATCTTTCTGTCCATCCATCCAATCAAACCAACACAGCGTCCACTATCCTATCCGGACACCGATGTCATACTAATGTGTTTTAGCATTGATTCGCCGGATTCGTTGGAAAACATTATGGAAAAGTGGACGCCCGAAGTCAAGCACTTTTGTCCGAACGTACCGATCGTTTTGGTCGGCAATAAGAAAGATTTGCGCAACGATTCGAATACGATTCGGGAGTTGGCCAAAATGAAACAGGAACCGGTCCGATCGGAACAGGGTCGGTTTATGGCCGAAAAGATCAACGCATTCGGCTATCTGGAGTGTTCGGCCAAAACCAAAGAGGGCGTACGGGAAGTGTTCGAAATGGCCACTCGGGCGGCACTGCAGGTGAAGAAAAAGAAGAAAAAGCCGTGTCTTATTGTTTAGTGTTTTATTATCAAAAAAAAGGAGAGGTTTTTACCCGAAAAGTGAGGACAGATAGAGAGGGAGAGTACCGTACGATAGTGTAGTAGAGAGAGAGAGAGTGTGTGTTTATGTTTAGTAGTCGTGCACTTTGACATCGATATTATTATTATTATATTATTATAATTATTATTTTCATTATTATTAATTAATTAATTAACTATTATTATTATTTTAATTGATGATTATTATTATTATTATATAAGTTAAATTGATAATTAATTTTTGATTTGTGGATAAATATCTAATTCAATAATTCAATTGATTTTTATTTTTTATTTGTGGAATTTTTAATTAATTAATTTTTTTCAAAATTTATTCATTGATTGATAATTATTATTATTTCATTTTTTTCCCCACTTTCTCGAGAGTTTGTTTTGTTTGTTTTTAGTTATTATTTGTATTTTTTAACTGAAAAAAAATAATTTTTAAGATAAGACATACCATTATTATTATAGAGAGAGAGAGAGAGAGACGACACCCCTTTTCGCTCTCTCTTTCTCTATGAAGTCATTTTCAAGATAATAATAATAATAATAAAAAAAACTCTGTATAAATAAATAGCTTACTGTCCACACACATACACATTCACATTCAGCCACCCTCCCCCCCCTACACACAAACACATTTATATATACATTATTATTATTATTATCTATGTATCACAGATAATAACTGTTCCCTTAGTTTTTTTTATTAATGAATTTTATTTTATTTTTGTGGTCAAACTCAACAACAACAACAACTCATAACCGTATTATTAGTAATAATTAATTAATGATTTTTTTAAATTTATTATTTGATTTTTTCCCCTTTCTGTGAACACCAATTGATTATTTTTTTTTTTATTTATATACAGTATATACTGTGTGTGTATATATATATATTGATATATTGTTTTAATTTCTAGAAATTATTATTATTACTAATCGTTTTATGTCTATTATCATTACAACAAACAAACAAAAAACAGAAATAGCATATAAATCTAAATAATAATTTTGTTTTTTTTTAAATAAAATTATTATTTAAGTTTCTAAGTGAATATGTGTTGTTATTCAATAAGAAATTAGTTAATATATATTTCATTAGATAAATCTTATCATTTATTTTTTAGATTAATTTGTTTTTTGTGTTTAATGTTAAAACATTTCTTTATTTTTCTGTCATTTTAAATGTTTAAAACACAACAACAACTACTACTACTACTAAAAAATCCCTGCATTTTATTTTCAACTGACTTTTAATAAGACACAGACATTACATATAGAAAATTAATTTATAAAAAAATATATAATAATAATAATTGTTATCATAAAAACCAAAACAAACAAAAATTGTGGCAAAAATTTGGACAATTTTTTCTTATTTTTAAAAAAACAAAATACTATAACAACAACAAAAACAAAATTGTTTAAATTTACTAAAAAAATGTTAATTTACTTTTAACATTATTATAAAACAAATTAATTAATTATGTAAGTTATTTATATACATGTATATTTTTTTATTATATATATATATATATAAAAATATACATGTTTTTATATAAATAACAGTTGTCCTCCAAAAAATTTAATATTATTATTATTATAAATTATTATTGCATTAAAAAGGCAAATATCAAAATTGTTTTTATATATATATATAAATAAATAAATATATGATATGATATATATTTAAAGAGACAAAAATTGAAATGAAATATATTTAAAAAAATGAATAAAAATATATTATATGAGCTTTTAATACATTAATAAAAACTATTTGGAAATTTAAACAAAACAACAACAAAAAAAACTATTCAACACTTGTTTTATTATTTATTTATTTTTTTTTAATATAATAATAATTATTATTATATAAACAAATATATATCAAATTATTATTATTAAATACAATAGTATTTAATATGTATTTAAATTATGTGTTTAAAATAATCGCATTTCAATTGCAAATTGCAATATAGTAGTACCGATAAATTAAAAACCCGGTTAATTAAAAACCAGGTAAATTAAAAACCCGGTAAATTAAAAACCCGGTAAATTAAAAACCCGGTTAATTAAAAACCCGGTTAATTAAAAACCCGGTTAATTAAAAACCCGGTTAATTAAAAGCCCGGTAAATTAAAAACCCGGTTAACCCCTGGTTAAACAAAAAAAAAACGGTTTGTTTCGCAGTTTAGTTTGGATATTAATATTCAATGTATTTTTCTATACGGTTTGGATACTAAACTACTATCACTACTCTAATACATGTATTAATAGTATTATGTTTTTCTATGACGTGTGTATTATCACGTGATTCGCACTGTTTTTCAATGTTTTTAGTTTTTATTTATTATTTATTTATCGATTGATTGATTGATTGGCCATTACTTTTGATTTCTCCGCACGGGTTGGTTGGCCACTGGAAAAAAATTTAAGATATTATTATGAACCGAGCCGTACATCTGAGGCCACTGTTATTGGCCACATGTTTGACGACACGCGCACCGACGACGGCGGCGGCGGTAATCACTGTTGTTGGTGACCACCAACAGCAATGTATTTCGGCGATAAGTTTGCGGACTTTTGCCACTACCGTAGGTTATCATCCGAGACGACGACGATCATCATCATCATCAGTACAACAGCAATGGCCACTACTGACTGCTGGCTACTGTGGCGGACAACTTGTCAACTATACATCGGTTAGATCGATGGCCAAAAATCGCGACAAACCGAAAGACACGAAACAACGAAAGGGTGTGAAACCTAAGGTCGTACTGACCGACGATGAAATGACTGAATTGATTCCCATCAGCGAACTGAAGATCGAGTTGTCGGCAGTTGTCGATCGGTTACGCAATGACCTGACCAACAATGTCTGTGTCCGCAGTAATCCGCAGGCCATCGATAGGTATTATTATTAGTTGTTATTAGTTGTTAACACCCGAACCACACCAATTGATTTGGTTATCCATTTTCAAACAGTTTGGTGATCGACATCAATGGTGCCAAACACCAGTTGAACGAATTGGCACCGATTATACGCAAAAGTCCGCAACTGGTGGTCATAAATCTCGGCGCAATGCCCGAAGCAGTCAAACCAGTGTTGGCGGCTATGGCCGAGTCCGGAATGAATCTGAATCCGCAACAAGAAGGCAACGTACTGTACGTAACGATACCGAAAGTGACGCGCGAACATCGCGAAGGTCTGGCCGGAAGTGCCCGTCAATTGTGCCAAAAGGCCCGACAAGATATCAAAGATATTCATTCGACGTTTGCTACGTATGTACGCAAACAGCGGCAACGGTCGCACGTATCCGAAGATCTGGTCAGCAATGTTAACGATAATCTCAAATATCTAATCGATGGCCGACTAAGCGATTGCGACCAACTGTTGAACCAAAAACTTGATGAACTGTTAAAATAATAAAAATCATAATTTTGTTTTGTTTTGCATTAAAACATCAATAGTTTTAAAAACTTTTTTTTAATTAAAAAAGTCATATTTATTTCAATGTTTACAATATTATAGATAAATTAATATTACTATACTTTACAGTAGTATTTTTTTGTTGAAAAAAATTTATCACATCTATTACATTACCCCGCGGTAAGTAATTTAGTAATATTTAAATTATTATATAATAAACAAAAATTTGTAAGTATTTAATAATTAGTTTTTTAAAAAAATAAATGTATAAATTGTTTTTTTTTGGTTAAATTTTTAATTTACTATATATTTTATAACATTATTAATTTATAATGTATTTTATCTCTCTCTTTCTATTGCAATAATGTAATGCTATTGCAAATTGATTTTTTATATACAGTATGTTTGAATACATATATTACATAATTATTGTAAATTTTTATCATTTTTTTGTTGTATTGATTTTAATAGTCACTTATCATTTTTGAAAGTTACTAAAAAATTTTATTAATATATAGTTTTGTTATTTATTTATTTTATTTTTTTGAATAAATACTGAGACCAAAAAAAAACTAATAAAATAATTTATTTATTTATTTTTTTATAATAAACATAATTCAACAAAAAATTATTGTAAAAATACGGTATAAAAGTTTATACTATAAACCGGTAACCAAACCGCTAAACTCTTAAGGTTACGCACTCTAGTGCTTAACACATAACAACACGTGTATAACTATTACTACTACACGGAAACTAACCGATAGGTTATATATATATATCATAGATTGTTTGGTGGCGACCCGAACCCGACATTTGTGTGGATACACCCGCGTGGATAACCCGTGAACCCGACCGCCAATACAATGGAGTCTACGACGACTACCGCCGCCGCCGCGGCCGCCAAAGGCAAAGCAAAACTTCAGTTTTATCTGCAAATGGAGAGACAAATGCAGGATAAGTGGCGAACCGGTCGTATCTACGAAGTTGACGCACCCGACGATGGCCATCGCGACAGTCTGGACGATAAATTTATGGGCACTTTTCCGTTTCCCTATCCGAATGGCCGCATGCATATCGGTCATACGTTTTCGTTGTCCAAACTTGAGGTAAATAACAGTTTTGTTTTATGAGACCAACAGCTGTTGTTGGCAACCGATATCCTGACTGACCACTGATTGATTAATTTAATTACCGTACAGTTTATTGTCGGCTTTTGGCGTTTAATGGGCCGCCGATGTCTACTACCGTTCGGCTTTCACGCATCGGGAATGCCGATCAAAGCCTGTGCCGACAAACTCCGACGCGAAATGCAAGACTTTGGTTTTCCGCCACAGTTTCCCAACGACGACAACAAGGACAGCACTGCCGCCGATACCACAAGCGATCCAGTGATCAAAGACAAGTCAAAGTCTAAGAAGTCAAAACTACTGGCGAAGACAATTCAAGCCAAATATCAGTGGCTAATCATGCGATCGCTTGGACTCAGCGACGATGAGATCCGGCCGTTTGCCGATCCGCTCTATTGGTTAGACTATTTCCCCCAGCGATGGGTCGATGATCTCCGGGCATTTGGCCTACGGGTTGACTGGCGTCGGACATTCATGACTACCGATCGTAATCCTTTCTTCGATTCGTTCGTCAGGTGGCAGTTCTTTAGGCTGAAAGAGCGAAATAAGATTAAGTTCGGTAAACGTTATTCAATTTATTCGCCAAAAGATGGCCAGCCGTGTATGGATCACGATCGGCAATCGGGCGAAGGTGTCGGTCCGCAGGAGTATACACTCATCAAAATGAAAGTCCTGGAACCGATACCATCGAAACTGCAAAAGTATTTTGATTTTGAAAAACTAATTTTTAGTTTAATTTATTAATTAATTGATTGTTTGTTTGTTTTTTTCAATAGTCTAAACGGCGACATATATCTAGTGGCCGCTACACTACGTCCCGAAACAATGTACGGCCAGACCAACTGTTGGCTCAGACCCGACATGAAATATATTGCCTATACTGTCAACGGCGGCGACATATTTGTATCGACTGAACGATCCGCTCGTAATCTATCGTTTCAGGGCTTTACTAAAGTCAACGGTGTTGTAGACAAACTCATGGACCTGATCGGCTCAGACCTGATTGGTACGAAACTACGGGCACCGCTTACCAGCTACGAACACATCTATGCGCTGCCAATGTTGACCATCAAAGAGGATAAGGGAACCGGTGTTGTCACAAGCGTACCATCGGACGCACCCGACGATTATGCAGCGCTCAGGGATCTGAAAAATAAGCCGGCTCTGCGCGAAAAGTATGGCGTCACTGACCTGATGGTACTGGCCTACGAACCGATACCCATAATCGACATTCCCGACTTTGGTAGTCTAGCAGCGGTTACAGTGTGCGATCAATTGAAGATCCAGAGTCAAAATGATACCTTGAAGTTGGCCGAAGCCAAGGATAAGGTCTATTTGAAAGGCTTTTACGACGGCGTTATGCTTGTTGGCGAATACAAGGGCCAGAAGGTTGCGGCCATCAAAAAGGATATACAATCCCAGTTGATTGCATCCAACGATGCACTGGTATATATGGAACCGGAAAAACTAGTTATCTCCCGATCGGGCGATGAATGTGTGGTTGCATTATGTGACCAATGGTTTTTGGAATACGGCGAACCCGAATGGCGTGCATTGACTGAGAAAATGTTGGCCACAATGAATACATATTCGGACGAAACCCGACGTAACTTTGAGGCCACATTGGATTGGCTGAAAGATCATGCATGTAGTCGACAGTACGGTCTGGGATCACGTTTGCCGTGGGCTCCCGAATGGCTCATTGAATCGCTGTCCGATTCAACCATCTATATGTCCTACTATACAGTAGCTCATCTGTTACAGGGCGGCGTTATGGACGGTTCGGCTAAGTCGCCGATCGGTATCGAAGCCGCAAGTTTGACGCCCGAAGTTTGGGATTATATATACTTTGCCGGCGCTCAGTATCCGTCCGATTGCGGTATACCGCGTGAAAAATTGGACAAATTGCGCACTGAATTCAACTATTGGTATCCATTGGATTTGCGTACATCGGGTAAAGATCTGGTACCCAATCATTTAACTTATTTCCTATACAATCATTGCGCTATTTGGCCAAATGAACCCGATAAGTGGCCACGAAGTGTTCGGGCAAATGGTCATCTGTTGTTGAACAATGAAAAAATGTCGAAATCTACCGGCAATTTCTTGACACTGACCGAAGCTATTGAAAAATATTCAGCCGACGGTAAATATATATATATTTATTTATGCAGTATATTATAGTTATATTTACCGATAATTTTATTGCTGTCATATATAGGTGTCAGATTTGCGTTGGCCGACGCCGGCGATGGTATCGATGACGCAAACTTTACCGAAAAACAAGCAGACAATGGCCTCCTGAAGCTCTATAACTTTATTGAGTTTAGCAAAGAGATTGTCGCCAATCAGGCGTCGATGAGAACCGGACCGACCGATACTTTTGACGACAAAGTGTTTGAAAAGTAAACGGAAAATTATTTACCGTTTATTAGGATTTTCTTATTATTTTTATTTATTTATTTTTTTAGTGCAATGAATCGGGGAGTAAATGAAACGGAACGACACTATAGGGCCATGAATTTTAAGGAAGCGCTGAGAACCGGGTTTTTCGAGTTTCAGGACTCGAGAGATAAGTATCGGGAGTTGAGTCAAAGTGCTGGAGGAATGCACAGAGATTTGGCCCTCAAGTTTGTCGAAATACAGGCCATACTATTGTGTCCGATATGTCCGCATACGGCCGACTATGTCTGGACGGAAGTACTCCAGCGATCGGATAGTGTTAACACTAGCCGCTGGCCACAAGTTGTCGCCGTCGACGATGTACTACTGCAGTCGTTTGCCTATCTGATGGACGCTACCCATAGTTTTCGTTTACGATACAAGACTTTTATGACACAAAAATCCAAAGATAAGACAGCCAACAAAGCACTGGCAGCTAAACTGCCGACACACGCGACCATATATGTGGCCAAACAGTTTCCGCAGTGGCAGTCAATCATATTGACAACAATGAAAACATTATACGAGGTTTACAATTGAAATATTAATTATTATGTTTGAAGTTATTATGTTTTTTGTTAATATTTTTTGTTTTGTTTTTTTTTGTCGCCAATTATTTATTTTTTTAGGACAACAAACGAAAATTACCGGACAATAAATTAATAGCCGAAAAGTTATCGAAAAATCCCGATTTAAAGAAATATATGAAAAAAGTTATGCCATTTGCCGAACACCGAAAAGTATTAATTATTTTATTTTTAAATAAATACTTTTTTCAATTGATTTGTTTTAAATTTTCCGATAATTTTTTTTTTATTATTTAAATTAAAGCAAATGTTTGTCGAGTTTGGCGAAAGTGTTTTCGAGGAAACGTCGGCTTTCGACGAGCGTCAGGTATTGCGCGAAAACATTGCATACCTGACCTCAACACTCGACTTAGAATCGGTAGACATTGAGTTTGCCGACGCGGCCGACGAGAAAATTCAAGGCGAATGCTGTCCCGGAGATCCGTATATTGTCTATCGAACTGAACCGTCGGTAACGGTTACGGCCATCAATCAGCAACAGTTTAGACCGTATTTTGAGATCAAGATTCCTATCTATAGCTCGGATACTGTCCGGCGAGTGGCCGACAGGATATGCAAAGAGAATCGTTTTATCAAAGGTTTGGTGTTATTATTATTACCGATTAACCGATAATTGTCTTACCGGTAAATGTTATTATTTTTTTTGACAATTGATAGACTCATCCAAAGTGAAACTATTGCGTTACGCGGACGGGTTGACTGGACCGCGACGTATACCCAATTTGAATCAATTAGCCGACGATAAGGTTGAGATGAACGGCGAGACGACAACAATTGCGGCAATTGTCGAGTCCAACGAAGTGAATGTCGTAGTTAGCGGTAAAACATACGGTTTGGGTAAACAATTAGTCTATTTTGTTGATGAAAATTAATTTAAACTGTTTTTTTAAATAAATAATAATTACCGGTATTATTATAATAACTAATAATTTGATATTTTTTTTATTAATTAAATTGTCAATAAAAAAATTGTTTTTAATATTATTAAATACAATGAAATTTTAATTTTATAACTTATTTATTATTATAAAAAAATATGAAAAATTAGTCATTTAAATGATTGATTCATTAATTACCGGTAGAAAAATAAATTGTTTACATAAACATAAAAAACAAACAATTTTTATGATTCAAATTACCGGTTCATATAATATATATATATTCATAAAAATATAAAGTTAAGTCAGTTAAAAAAGATAATTAAAAATATAAAAAAAGTTAAAAAATTAAGTATAATATAAAAATCAATATTAAAAATTGGGGGAAAAAATCAAAAACAATTATTGCTTTAAAAGTTGAATTTTTTGGTCGACTCTCTGGTCAAGTGTCACAATATTAACCTCTTTTCTAATCTTAATATAACTACTGTTGACATTACCGCCCGATTTTACTTCCAGCGAATAGATCCAGTCGGGCATAAATTGGCACAAATAGTCCACATGTTCTCTGGCCCGGAGTATCGACAGACTCGATGTAAAACTGTTGACTATTTTCGTGACCAACTGGTCATAAGGTATGGCCAACTTCTTCGAACTAATGAAAAAGCTGTGTATTATACGAATAAATTCGGGTAACGAACGCAATAGACTTAGTTCGGCCTCGACTTTCGGTTTACGGGTCATCTCTTTGGCCAAATTGGCTGCTTCTTTGGCACGGATCTGATAACATACAAAAAAAATGAAATTAATCGAATCAATGGTTAAAATTCATATATTTAGACAAACCTTTTGCAATAAATCCATTGAAAGACCTTTGAGAACACCTTTTGTGATCTTTTTGTTGTTTGAAGTGATAGCAGTTTTGCCATCAATTTGATTGTCATCAGAGGTAGTAGTAGTCGTAGTAGTATTATCTGCATCAGCAGTCGTCGTTGATAAGCCTAAACGTTGTCGAGTTGACTCCAGAAACAGTTGAGCCGATTTGTCTTCAAATTTAGGTTCTACTGGCATAGCATTGACATTCGGTACGATATCGGGTACCGAATCCACACGAAACTTCGGATGCCATCTAAACAGTTCTTTGTCATCGACATTGATGTCCAAACCATTCAAATAATTTTTATGATAATCTTTGGTAATGTCCAACAATTTTCCAGTAAATAACTGATGTCTTTCCAATAGATGTACGGAATTCAATCGGATATCAACATTGGAGTTATAGACGGGACTAATCATCAGCTGATAATAGGGTTTACGATTATCCAGACCAGAGTTAAACAATTGGTAGCGAAGTTTAAAAGCATCGGCAAAAATGGTCACTATTTGGGCCAATCGTTTCTTATCGAACCGTTTGCTTGTCATTCGTTCGACTGATTCCCGAAGCTTTTCAAACGTACAGTTTTCCTGACGTTTGTAGTGCATCGACACTATAGTGTCGACCGATTTGAACATATCGGCTAATAAACGATATTTCTGAGGCAATACCAGTCCCGGCCTATCATCAGGTTTGTCCACCAGATAACTGTATCGATCGAAAACCCGTAGCGATTCGTTTGTTGCCGACTTGTAGTTGTTTTTGTTGTTGTTTTCTCGAGCTTTCTGCGAACTATTCGACGACGACGACAACAATGGCTTCGGGTCTTCAAAAACGTCGAACAATCGGCGCCGATAAGTGGACGAACAATTGGACTCATAGTTTGGTATAACACTTACGGGCGATTTCAGTGGCGGTATTATCGGACTGAACGCCAAAAATGCTCGACTCGACGGCGAATGTCTAACTGGACTTCGGTTTGGTGTACGAAAGCCCGACGACAACGACTTAGTCGGTGTCTTGACTTTAATCTCTTTGAATTGTTTGACTTTTTCGGCGCAATCGTTGATTTTCGACAATTGTCTCTTCAGATCCAATAGATTAGTACATTTGCGTAGCTTTTCCTTTACTTCGTTAACATTCAGATCCTTGGCTTCTTCGGCGAGGTCGCCTTTGCCGCCATCACTCGTAACCAATGGTCGACCAGCGGTCGCGGGCGTCTTGCAGCTATCGGTAGTCTTGAAATCAATGCCAACCTCACATTTGGGTGTCCGCTGGCGTTTGGCTGCCGATAGTTTACTACTGGCCGTCGATTTAGACGAGCTTTTTATGGACGACTCTTTCTTGCGTTTCGGTGTCTTATCGTTTGTTACTACCGGTGCCGCGTAATCATTGTCGGCAGTAAACTCGGTGGCCGTTAGCTTATTTGTCGTCAACTTTTTGGCTGCTGTGGCCGATACGCCGCGCTTTTGGGCGGCAAAAAAGTCGGTCACTCGTGTTTGTGTGGCCATTATATACTAATGTCAATAAATAGAGGTTAAAATCGGTGGTCAAATTATAAAGTGGTCAATCAATCAACAAAAACATCGGCTATTTGTGTCGTCAAAATTAGTGGTCAGTTATTATTATTAGTATTATTATTGATATGTAAAACACGTGTTGTTTTTGTTTTGTGTGTGTTTTAAATGTCTTCAAATAATAACTAATACATTGACTAAACATTTGGTCAAACAATGGACTTCCAGTTAATGTAAAGTAAAGTAAAGTATTTTTTTGGCGCCAACTACTAGACCTTTAATACCAATGCATATAAAGTACGTCAATATATTTGTAATATTTTCTAAAAATGTTTTATGTGTTTGGATTCAATAGTTGGGTGGGGGAGTTGTGAGGGGGAAATGAATTTATTGGACGTTATTCATTGTCTATGTTTAATACGTTTATTGCATTTCATATGTTTATAACATATATTTATTAAATACATCTATAGTTTCATGCATTTAGTGTAAAATCAAGTATGAAAATACTGTAAGTGTTATACACTGTCAAGCAGTTAGAGCTAAGGCGCTAAAAATAATACTGTAATAACTATATGTAAATATTTTCTATGTATATGTAATACACTATATCTATGGATGGCCTATGGATGGGAAGTATGTATACAAAAAGTGCATGTATTCATAGCAATACTAAATAATAATAATAATAATAATAATAATCACATGATATTAACCGTTAGTTTTTTTTTTTATTAGTTAGTGTAAAGTCTAGTGATGTGACCATCGATTTCGGCGACCGTATTGGCCGTATTACAAGAGTTTTTCTTTCGCCACCTCAACCAGCATATGAATGGATCAATTGACTCAATTGGTTGATAGTCTGACCGCCGACGACCTGTTGGCCATCGAACGAGAGGTCAAAGACTATGCCTTAGCTAAAGGTTTGTCAATAATTGTCTGTCTTCTTCTTCTTCATCATCGGTGTCTCAAAAACCGATGATGTCTTCATCGATGATAATCATCTGCTGATCACCCAATTGATTGATTGATTAGGTATTGCCTTCAAGTTGGCCAATTCGCCGCCGGACACGGTATCGCTGGCACCGTTGACACTGTTTCCGTCGCCGTTTCCCCGCAAACACTTTGACTTCGGTCATCGACTGCAACCGCTGGTCAATGCCGTCTCCCATAAGATTGCCTACGATCACGGCTTTCTGGCGGATTCGTTGGCCAAGACTGTCCAAGTGGACGATTTTACTGCCAAAATGTTTGACGTCTATACTCAGGTCAGACGGGAAGGTATGGCTCAGACCACTAGTTTAGGTCTGTTTCGAGCCGACTATATGCTGGACGAGCGCCCGGACGGTGGCGGCGGCTACGATCTCAAACAGGTTGAAGTGAATAATATATCGACCAGTTTTTGCGGTCTCGCGCCGGCCGTACGCGACGTTCACCGACACGTACTGGCCAAGTACGGTGCCAGTGCCGACATCGGTGACCTTGACAAACGGTTACCGATAAATCGGTCTACGGAATTGATGGCCGCCGGACTGATCAAGGCGTACGACTATTACAATCGATCGTCGGCTGTCATACTGGTAGTTGTCGAGCAGGTAGTGGTCAACATATTTGATCAGCGGGCTATCGAGTTTACCGTATCACGGTCGCGGCCCGATATTCGACTAATTCGCCGGACATTTGCCCAATTAAGAGACGCCGTGAGATTGGGCAACAATCGTGAGCTGATTGTCGATAACAAACACGAGGTGGCAGTGGTGTACTATAGGACCGCATACGCGCCCCAGGATTACGCCGGCGACCAGGACTGGGACGTCAGGCTATTGATGGAGAGATCCCGTGCCGTCAAATGTCCATCCATTCAGTATCACTTGACTGGTTGCAAAAAGATTCAGCAAATTGTCAGCAATCGGCAAGTAGTGGAAAAGTTTGTCGCCGACCGGCGCGATGTCGACGATCTGATGCAAGTGTTTGCCGGCTTATGGGGTCTGGAATCGGGCCCAGACGGTGACCAGGCTATCGATATGGCTCTGGGCGAACCCAATCGATTTGTATTGAAACCGCAGCGGGAGGGCGGCGGCTATAACTATTTTGGTGGACAACTTGCCCGGAAACTCGACGAGATTAGACATACCAAGGAAAGGGAGTCGTATATATTGATGGAACTGATACGTCCGCCTAAAGTACCGAACCATATACTGGCCCCGAATAAGTCGTTGGCCGCCAATAGTTTTCGGCCGTCCAATATTACGTGCGAATTTGGTGTATTCGGTACAGTGATGGGCAATGCCGATGAAATTATACTAAACTCAGAGGCCGGTCATCTAATCAGAAGTAAGACCTACGGCACCAACGAGGGAGGAGTGGCCGCCGGTTTCGGTGCACTGGACTCGCCATACCTTTATTGATCTGTTTTTAATTTCTAGTGTTGTTTATTATTTCAGAGTATATTATACTATAATTAAAGTTTAGTATCAATTGTTGGGGTATTTTAGTTATATATATATATAATTTATTTATTATACATTTTAATAGTATGTAGTTATTGTTTAGTAATAGATTTACTTTTGAATTTATTTAACAAATTTTAATATAATATTTTTATAATTTGTTTTTTTTATATATATATATATATATATACAGAATATGTTATATTATGATTTTAATTTTTTATTCATTGAATTGTTGTAATATTTAATTTGAAAGAAAAATATTTTTTATAAATATATATATTTACACAGAAATCAATGTGATGTGATATTATCATAATATGATTTGATTTTTATTTATTGTTTATATAACCAACAAACAAACAAAAAAGTCAGTTTTATTTATATTTATTTTTTATATAAATCATAACAATTGTTGATTGAAACAACTTGACTGGAAATCACTGCCTTATTATTATATTGACTATCAATTAATAGGAATACACACACAAAAAAAAAGTTTTATATATATATATATATATATTTTTCTATACATACGGTATAATGTTTATAATCTATTGATGATATCTATCCACCAAAAAAAAAACACAAATGAAAAGTGATTTCAGTAAATGATATGTCAATCTATCTCTCTCTTACTCTCTCTCTCTCTCTCTCTCTCTCTCTCTCTCTCTCTCTCTCTCTCTCTCTCTCTCTTAATGTTATCTCCCGTTCCCCTCCCGTTTATATTGCTATCGTTAGCACTGGTATGCCTATGATGTTGTAGTTGTGCCCATCGATTTGCAATCAAATTAAGAGTTAAATTGAGTTAAAAATTATAGACTACACAAAGTGTTTTATATATATATATATATATATATATATTGGTGTCGGATATGTCGACAACTACTATAACTATCGGTGCCTTCAATGATAAGAGCGAGAGATAGTGAACACCAAAAAAAAAAATGTTAAATATATGGCAATCATATCATACTTTACTTTATATATATATAACTTACACACTAAACAATGTTGAGTTAAACTAACACATATAAACCATAATCAAGTTTGAGTACCAAATAATAATATATATAAAAAAAACTAAATAATGATAATAAAAAATAAAATAAAAATACATTTTTGTGTTGTTTTTATCGCCTTCAATATTACAAACAAATTGTTTTGCTGTCAATATATATCTATGTTTATCTTTCACTCCTTATATTTTTTTTGCCTCAATTTTTTTTTTTATTTATTTGGTGCGCTTATACTGTAGTTATTTCATCAAACACTGGGCGCTATATTTTAGGGCTAAGCCCGGGTAGAGAGAGAGAGAGAGAGAGAGAGAGAGAGAGAGAAACCTAATAATAATCTACACTAATGTTTTGATAACAAATTTATATATAATTATATTTACAGTACTAAATGTAATTTCATACTCTCTTTCTTTCTCTCTCTTTCTCTCTCTCTCTCTCTCTCTCTCTCTCTCAAGTAATAACTATTTGCGATTATATAACAGTCTATCTATAAAAATAAAACTATATCTTAGAAAATAGCCCTAAAAATTATGATCACACAAACAACACTAATTGATGCTATTTATTATTATTATTAGTAGTAGTATATTAATAATATCATATAACTTATATAATACTTGATTAACACGCTATTACAATAAAACTGTATATAATAATACCGACAAATAAATTGATGATTAAACTAAAAGATGATTTTATTTTATAAAAAATAATTGTTGTGTATAATAACAACTACATTATAATTATGTTTAGTGCCGATTAATTACAGAGGATTTCTATAATATAAATATATATATCGTTATTAAACAAATTAAATTATTATAATTTATATATACTATAGTATATATAGTTTGTTTGGTTTTTATTAAGTACATTAGATATTGTAAGTATATGTATATATTTTAGTTTAGTATATTAATTAGATTTTCCAACAACAACATAAAATTAAAAATTAAGTTTATTATATATATATATAGTTGATTTAATTATTATTATTTTTTATTATTATCATTAAATAATAACCAATTTTGTGTGTTTGTTGTACGGATTTAATGGCTAGTCGTGAGCGCCCAACACAACAATCCTATGGGCGCTTATCCTATCTTATACTGTATATTTATATGGATATCCCTGCTCTCTCTCTCTCTCTCTCTCTCTCTCTCTTTCTTTACAGTATCTTAACTATCTATCTGTATACTACCCGCCCCTCGGGATCACCTCTAACTTCATAGAGAAAGATCTTAGAGACAGAGAGAGAGAGAGAGAGAGAGAGAGAGAGAGAGAGAGAGAGAGAGAGAGAACCCATAGTCAGGGCTTATGTATTGTTTTTTTAAAATAATTTTTTTTGTTGGGTTATTCAATACAAATCTCTAATAAGATATATGTATTTTTTAAGCAAAAATTTTTTCGTTGTTGTTGTTGTTTTAGCCAACTATTTATACTTACAGTAAAAAAAATCTCTGTAATTATATATTGAGAAACTTATTAAGAGTTAATTAGTTGGTATATACAGTATTATTGTTATATTATTATAAATTTATGAAATATTTTTTTTTTTTTGAAGTTGTTTGAGGATAACATCTTAATGTAATTAAGTTATTTAATCGTTGAGTAGTGTCAAAAAACTAATTTAAAAAACACATTGTATTAATATATAATATTTAAAAAAAAATTTATTATTAATAATAATATTATTAAATAATATACTGGTATTTAAATACACAGATAGTCTCTAATAGTATTTAGCGTTAATTTAGTTATTAATCGTTAAGGTTTGGTTAGTGTGTGTGTGTGTGTGTGTGTGTGTGTGTGTGTGTAAAATAATAATAATAAAAAAATATACTAATATTTAATATAATATAAATATAAAAACACTAAACAACAACAACAAGAAAAATGTGTTTTAATTTTTCATATTTTTTTTAAATAAATATATTTCTCACACAAAAAACTTTCAAATTTTGATTTATTTGTGAATTTTTATGCGAAACAGAGTGAGTGAGTGAGTGAGTGAGAGAGAGAGAGAGAGAGAGAGAGAGAGAGAGAGAGAGAGAGAGAGAGAGAGATAATAAAATAAATTTTAAATATGTTTTAAATTATGGTAAGCAAACACTTTATATTTTTCATACTTTATAAATATACTGTAGATTTTTTTGTTGTTGAGATATAATTACATATATTTTTTTATTATTTAGTATTATTATTATTATTACGATTACTGGCGATTACCACCCAATCATCATAAGCAGCAGTGGCGGCGGCGTCGGCACCAACTCATCACCAAAAAAAAAATAAAAATAAATTACAACTAAAGTGTCGGTGATTTAGTAGATCCAGGATTTGTGTCGTTTAGGATTTCGGGTCTCTCTCTCTCTCTCTCTCTTTCTCAAAACCCCTCATATAGTGATAAGGGCTGTCCTCTTAATGATACCGATGCTCACAAACTTTAGTCTCAAATAAACATTATTTTCTCTCTCTCTCTCTCTCTCTCTCTCTCTCACACACACACACACTCACACACACACACTCACACACACACACTCACTCACTCAGTCGCCCTAACCCTAACACCCGACACATCTCTTTGGTTTAGAGATTAACTAATGTTTTTCTAGTCTTTATATTGTTTCGGACTAATGATAGGACATAACTATTACTACTACACAACAGTTACTTCATATTATTATTAGTAATACAGTATTTTTTTTTTTGTAGGCCAAACCTATTGCCTTATATTATATTAGGCGATAACTACAGTATTTTTTTCACAGTTAATCATAATAAAACAAAAATATTATATACAGAGTATATACTGTATATATTTAAGGTAATACACTGTATACCAAAAAAAGCAATAAATATTGTTTTAAAAAAATATATAACAAATTTATTGGTGTTAAGTACAGTACATACATATAAATTTAGTAATAATAGTTAAAAACACATTTTTTAAAAAAAAAGTGTAAATATATATTTTATAACAATAATTATCTCTCATTTTTTGTTGTTGTTGTGTTGAAAAAATACAGTAATTTTTTTGGTTCCCCCTTCAACCCCCCCCCCCCGAAAAAATAGGTCCAATTAATTTGGTAAAAATTGGTGCTAAAACCTCCTCCAGGTTATTGACTATAGTATTGACTTTATGCGCTTATATATACAGAATATATGGTGTGCTCAGGGATTAGGACAGTGCTCCGAGAGATGGTTGGTTAGGCCTAATAGATGATAAAATTTAAAAAAAACCACAAAACCAGGGATACCAGACACCCCTGGAAAAGAAAGTAAAGGGCAATAAAAAAAAAATTTGCATAAAAATTAGTTTTTCGGTCTCTTTTTTTTGGATTCTTTAGGTTTGAGGTTTGCCTTAAATGATGGTCTGTTATCATATGTTTAGAGAGAGAGAGAGAGAGAGAGAGAGAGAGAGAGAGAGAGAGAGAGAGACGGAGTTTCAGATGAATAGACAAAACTAATGGTCCGACACTTTAAACTGCTCTCTCTCTCTCTCTCTCTCTCTCTCTCTCTCTCTCTCTCTCTCTCTCTCTCTCTCTCTTTCCTCTCAAATATATATATACAGTAATTACTACTTAAATATAATTAGCTATTAATTTGAATTTTATTTTACTTATATATATTTTTTTCTTTAGTATCTTATTTTCTTTTAGGGGCACTATTTATGTCTACTAAGTCTACGAAATAAATAGATTTTGTTTTTCAACAATAAAAAAAAAATAAAAAGAAAAGTGATTTTATTTTATTTTTTTATTATTGCTGTAAACCTAATAATAATTATTTATACTGTACTTTATATATGTTATTAAATTTCAATTGCAATAATATATTAATATATAAATCAAATATAGTGTAGCTATAATTATATATTTATAACAATAAATTTTTATTTAAAAAAAACTGCTGAACAATTGAAATAGTAAAAAAATGTATATATAATAAATATGTATAAAAAAAATAAATAACATGTAAAGTATAAAATAGTATTAAATTTTTTATGACAT